GGTGGCAGTGTGATTGGGATATCTGATGTAAAGAGGCGGTCTAATGGGCACACCTGATGTGATGGGAATACATGATGTAAAGTTGCACTCTGATGGAGACACCTAATGTAAGGAGGCACACTGATGGGCACACCCTATTCGGACCTCGGCCAGAAGAAAATTTTAGTGACCGGACCTTGAATTTTAATTCACTACCCCCGACATTGAGGAAAACCATGTGGGGAAGGGTTAGAACATCTGGCAATACTCTTATTGCATACTGTTCCTTTCTATCCCAGTGACAACTGCTGCCTCTCATTTCTTGCTTCCCAGTGTGGTCACACAGGCAATAAATCTCTGACCTGTTCATTTTTTTGGGATTTTATTTGCATTGCATCAGAGAGCAATTTCTACAATCGATTAAAAAAAACAAATAAGAAAATGTAATTATGTGGAGTCATTCCTGAAAAATGAATTCTGAACTTTTTTTTTTTTCTTTTACTGATTTCAGTTTAGTGGGTTTTTTTCCCTATTCATTTAGAAACTGTCCATGACTTCCATGTTCAAGAGGCATGGTTGGAAGGGGATTTGCGCCAGAGGCAGACTGATTGATCAGGGGACATGAGGGGACATGTTGGCTGAACAAACTACCCAATATAGACATGCCATGTGTCTGCACAGTGTCCTATACCTCTGAATGACCAGCCAAAGGATGAAAACTGACCATGCAAGCACAGATCAGCTTCTGTGCTTTGTGTGGTCAGCTTAGAACAAGGAAGAAAGGTGACTGGCAGAGTCAATCAGGTACTTTAGATGGAAGAAGTATATGAAAATGATAGACACTGTGATTTATAAAATACATATATGTAAGCAGACACATAGAAAAAAAAAATTGGGGGGTAATCTGTACTTTAAATAATAGAAAATAGAAAGTTTTATAAAACTGTGCATGATTGGTCAGTGACTGGAGGCTTGTAGATCTAGTCTAGGGGTTTCCAAGGTTTCTAAACAAAGGGCCAGTTTACTGTCCTTAAAACTTTGAAGGAGCTAGACTGTGGCCAGTGACAGTAAAAAAAATGGTGTCAACGGGAGTAAACAATGACCCATCATTGATATTCGTGGGAGGAATATTGCCCCATTGTTAGCATCAGGGGAACTAATAGTGTCTCATTTTTGGTGTTGATGGGAAGAATAGTGCCCTGCTATTGGTGTCAGTAAGAGGAATAGTCCTTGGTAGGAATTAGGGATGCACTGGTATCGGTTCCAATTCTGAGTATTTTCATGAGTACTCGTACTTTTGAAAATACTCCCAATAGCTTAACGATACTTTGTGGAGTGATTTGCATTAATGGATGCAAAGATTAGTATGTGATTCCTGTCCAAATTGCATGCGGTTTCCCCACTTCTCCTGTGTGAACCCAGGCTTGTCATAACCTGAGTTCACACAGGAACCGTGTGGGAAACGTCCATGCAGACATCCCATGCTGAGTTCAGTGGTAGGAGAGGAGAGAAAGAGGTGGGTTTTTTAAATCCCCTCCACTTACTTTCCTCTCCTTGAAGCAATGTCAGTTTGGGGCTAGATGGCATCTGATTGGTCAGCTGATGTGTCCATTAATGCAAAATGCATTGCAAAGTATTGATACTCTGTATCGGCGAGTACATGACCGAAAGTATTGATTTTCGTGCTCGCTGACTAAAAAAATGGTATCCGTGCATCCCTAAAAGGAATAGTGTCTTAATGTTAGTATCAGTGACAGGAATTATGCCCCCCTTGTTGATGTCAGTGGGAGGAATAGTGCCCCCAAGGGCCGGATAGAAGCAGGTAAAGGAGCACATCCGGCCCCTGAGCCGCAGTTTGCGACCACTTATCTGGACCTTAATTTGGTTGTCTCTGGAGAATAGTGTACTGTTATCTGATTTACTTATTTAAACAAAATTAATTGTCCAGGTATTGAACAAGTGTTTTTGTAATTGGGTACCTTTTTATAGAAAAGTTTTAAACCCTTTTTTCTCAGGTCATGCAAATGGCTATCTGATTGTTTAGGGTGGTTGCTTGTTCTTCCTTGCTTGTACTTCAAAATAAAATAGATGTGCATTTATTCAAGCAAGTGTCCATATCTTAGTTTGCTGGGTCAGCATTCTGCTTGTTAAAAATACCAAGTTATTGCAGGCCTCTGCCTTTTCTTGAAGTTAACAGTCCTGACTACACAGCAGAAGGAAACATTATGCAAGGATGCTTACACTGTGCTTGGCTCTTGCCAGTGTAGTCTGTTTTAACTTGCTGGAATAGGATTTAAATTATTTCTAGCAGTTTTTATTCTACATATATATATAAATAATGTTGGGCAAGTCTATCCATACACATATAACTTCTTTCAAGCCCATGACCTGAGCAAGAGAAATAGAATAGCTTCCTCCATCCACACTAAACAGCGTAGATGGAGAAATCTCCACCGAGGGCTATTGTATTCTGACAGATAGCATTCGTGGCTGTCAGAATATCTAAACAGTGACTGGATGCCTTCAACAAAAAATTGATTTAAAAATCAATTGTTGCTGAGCCTGGTGATGTTTACACAGGGCCACCTGCAGATTGATTCAGCAGGAAGTGACAGAAATGTAAGCCATGTATGGCAGGTTTAAAGGCAAACTCCACCTTTTACAAAAAATAATAAATGCACATATATTTGCAGGAAAAGAATGAGCATTTATTATTTATTTGCCAATGAGTCTACAAAGCTTTGCAAACACGGACAATTCAGGGCTGCAGCAGATTCTTCATTATATAGTGTGCAGACCCAACTACTAATGTTAAAGTGGTTGTAAAGACGGAAGGTTTTTTTTACCGTCATGCATTCTATGAATGAAGATAAAAAACCTTATGTGTGCTCTTTTTCTTTAAAGTGTTAGTAACACTTTAATGGTGTTGCTGTTATGTAGATCTGAGGGCAAAAGAATAATTTTGATAGTTATATAGTAAACTGCCTCCCCGTATCGTGTCTTCAGGAAATACTGTGTTAAAATTTGTCAGCAACTTCTATGAATGTCAAATGTAATGAAAGTGCATGCATAAAGTTTGCTTTACATTCCAGTCCAATTGTACAGAATTGGAAAATGTCTCCAAAATACTGGATTATTGTCCATTTCTGGAAGCTTTTAGGAATGTTAAGTTTAAGGACAATAGCTACAGGACACTATTCTCTATTAAGAAAAATTAGCAAAAAGGGGAAAAAAGCACAATGCAAATTTAATTTTTTTCTTTGGTGACACAATGTAGTTAGAAGAAAATTCTGCTACATCATTTTATAATAGGTTAGACAAAAACATTAATTATTCCTTTCTCTAGCCTCAATTTGGGTTGCGGTTCAGTGATCTTTCATGTGACATAGTTTGCTGAAATAGATATGTTGGTCACAAAACGTCTGTGTTATCTGTGGTGTTTGAGTAGCCTGTAGCGGAAACCTCAGAAAAAGGAAATGGTTTGGTTTAATGTAAAGGTTTGACACTTCAGCACATTTCATTAGATTTACAGTTTGTCTTAATGCTACTAGTAAACTGTATGTATTGAAATGTTCACTATTTATGCTTATGCCATATCATTGTAACTAATTTAAAGGCTTGTTTCTAGAGTGGAAGCCATGTATCATTTTGTTAATTTCATTAGTTTATTTTTAAACATTTAGGCCAGTTGCACACGAATGTAAGAATTTATTGATGGTTTACACTCAGGATCTTGGTGATGAGACGATCCTGAGTAAAATGTTCAATAAAGACCTGGCTTATATGTTTGTAAGCGTAAGGCCCCATTCACACACCTGTAACACAGCCTTTAAAAATTTACTGATCATTAAGGCAAGGAACAAAGGTTTTTGAGTTAATGATCAGTAAATAGGTCTATTTTTTATTATGCATTCTTTTTTTTTTTTTTCTTTTAATAGTATATGTGTATACACTTAGATGCAGATTTTTAGTTTTGTGTCACGGATCTGAAGGCAGTGCATTTTTACACACCTGTGTGAATGTGTCCATTGAAAACAATGCAGCCGCATTCAGATCTGTAAATGAACAGTTGTCAATGCACTTTTTTTAATTTTTTTTTTTTTTAAACCATGTGAATGGAACTTTAAATTCTTCTTTGCCAGTATTGCAACTTAAATGTATATACGCCTGTAGTCTGCTACACTCAAGCGTAAAATTTTCAGTTTTTGTTTTATGACTGTACTCCTCGATCTATTGCTTATCTTTATGCAGTTCTATGTACGGTTCCATAGACAATGCATCTATATCAGTAAAAAAAAAAGTCCCTTTTTTTTTTTTTTTTTTTTTTAAACTCCCGTGTGCAAAAGGTCCTATGGTGAGATGGACTTAAATGATCCAAAAAACCCTCCAGTAATTCACTGCAAAGTATAATGAATTAGAGTAAAGCTTTCTGATCCATTATAATGATGTGTGGCTGCGGGCTCTGATTACGTCAAAAGGTTTTTTTATCCCCTTACAAGACTATGGAAATGCAAAACCCACTTAATGCAGGTCAATTGCAGGTCATATGGACCAATCGGTGAATGATCTCAAACACTAAAAATAAATTGACACAGCAGCCCAAAGCCTATCAACTTGTTTTTCTCCACATTTGCTTGCAGCTGTATCAGTCTGGTTTGCCATTATGAGTGCAGTTTATGCTAACCATCATTTCTATGGAATGGAAGCCACTGAGAAAGTATAACCAGACAGAAGTGAAATAAATGTTTCTATTACATGCTTGCATATATCCTAGAAACCAAATTTCTGGAAGAACTATTGGTCCAGGGGTATATAAGATTAATTTGCATGGCCCAACTGACTATCTGTAAATGGGGAATAGAAAGGGTTTGTGATGGAATTCCATTTAAATACCTTCTGTTGTAAGAAAGCATAACTGTGAATTACATGTATTCAATTTATTTGGTGTTTCATCTTGATTAACATTTTGTTAAGATTGTATGATGCATATATTGAATTTTTCCTTTTTACCCTGGTTGTAGATGGAGCAGCTATCAGATGAGGAACTTGACCATGGGGCAGAGGAAGACAGCGATAAGGAAGACCAGGACCTGGACAAGATGTTTGGAGCCTGGCTGGGAGAACTGGACAAACTTACACAGGTGAGAACTTTTACTGCTGGGAAATGTCTTATATTGCCTGTCTTATTTGAAAAGGTAGAACAGCTCATTAGAAAACGACTCCATTTCTACCTGAATGCAGAAGATGCTAAAGTTATTTTGTTTCCAGTTACATTATAGATATCTTTGAAAATATTTATTAAGAGCCAGTTCACACCATGCTCTCTCCGAGCACGATGTGCATTCCTGTGTGATTCAGACTGCATGCAAAACGCACTCCATTTGCGATCTGCAGCAGGTGTCAGTAAAAAGCTAACAACACCTCAAATGCAGGTTGCAAGTGCAGTGCTTTTGTTTGCATCGGATTGCATAGTACTTTTGTACCATGCAATATGGTCGCAGTGTGTTTGAAAAAGTAGTGCATGCACTACTTTTGGTGAGGTGTGATTTTAGCCCATTCAGCATTAATGGGCTGAAATTGCATCGCACAGAACTGCATGTGCATTGCACAGGAATTCAAGTGTGGGAGTATCAGGCAGGCAGATATACAAATAATTTTTACTTGATTACAATCCTTTCCCAGCTGGCTGATATAGGTATTATTTGGTAAAATATTCCAAAAGTGAACTTACTAGCATCCAGTGCATGCATACATTGTTTACAGTAGTCTCCCTAGCGGTCTGATTATGTCAGTATTTCTGTGCTCAAAGCGGTACATTTTTTTGCATGGAATATGTATTTTTTTTTTTTTTTGTAGGCCTGTAATTTTTAGGAATAACTTACTGAAATCTGTCCGAACAAGAGTCTAGTAAACATCCCGGGTATGTTAAAATTTGAAACACGAAATCATAAATTATAATTTAATAAATAATCATAAAAAATAATATAAATTTAATTCAATAATATAATCAAACCAAAAACACTGAAATGTGAAATATAGCGCCAAGTTCACACATACTGAGCAAAGTCGCAAAATCGTTTTCAGTGTCTGAGGACGAATTTCCCCACAAATCATCACTCAATTCTGCAAGTAGTTCTAATTTACTATCGCTGTTTTCTAGCTGGTCTAAAACCACTTTTGACATAAAGGGACGCTTTTTGGACGCCATGGACGTTTCTCAGTTTCCAGGTAGAAAGCACAGTCAAAATGCAGGCAGGGCACAGGACAAAGCAGTAGGGACAACATGTATGTGAAATGGTTTGATACAGGAATGTTTTTACTATGTGATTTTAGTGAATGTCACTTTTTGACATTTTTAAATTTCCCGCCAGTTCCGTCCCCCGTACGTCCCGACGTCGCAGGGAACGGAACCCGGAAGACAGATGCCGGCATCGGCCGGAGGACATTTCCAGGGACACTGCAGGAGGGACATCGAGGGAGCGAAGGACAATGTAAGTGCAGAAGAGATCCCGGAGCAATGCTGCAAGGTATTCCCGAGTGTAGCTCTTGGTTACCGCTTGTGCTGCTGAAACTTTACCCCAAGCTACACTCTCGGGAATACCTCCAGGGAAGTTAAGGCTGCACTCCAACCAAATGTTTGGTTTTATAGGTTTTTCAATTGGCTTTTTTTTTTTTTTTCAGTCTGTTTTCCAAGTATGGATTCATCCACCTACATTCAACAAGAATATGTGTCAACATGGCAAGAAGTAGGGAGAAATCTACCTGATAAGTCCACAGCAGTAAAAACATTGATGTTTTATACTTTCTAAAAAAATTGTGGCTGAATTTGGACTTTACAAGTAACCTCCCTTTTTTGTAAAACTAGCAGTCAGTCTTCAGTGCTCAAAGTACTGTCACAATAAGAGATTGTATTATAAAATATGATTTGGACTAAACAAAAACAACCTAAAGTGTACTCACCCTCTTATCAAGCTTAAGCTGGGTATATACCTTGAGTGACAGATCCAGCAATGTGGATGCAGGAATCTTCCCCCGCTGGGATATTGTATTCCAACATAAGAGACAGTAGGTAGTCTTCCAGGGACATGTTTTTTTTTTTTTTTTTTTTAAATAAGTTGTTGACCGTCTCCATCATATGGTTACTTTTTTAATTTGTCTATAGTTCACTTTAAAAAATGAAGATTACACATTGCATAAATGTAAAATATGGACATTATTACTAGATAAGAGTTATACTTTTAATTGTTTCAGGTGTTGCCTTAGTATGTCTGTGTTTTAGGATTGTGCTTTTTGTTTTTTTTTAATAACTAGAGCTTGGATACAGAGAAGCCAGAAGAACCAGTTAAAAGATCCCCACTGCGCCAAGAGACTAATCTTGCAAATTTTTCATACCGGTTCTCTATGTACAACCTAAATGGTAAGTGATTACTTGTTAATTATTATTGATTATTATATGATCAGTTTTTATTTAAATATTTGTTTTTAGGGTTATAATCCTTTTTTTTTATGTGTTCTATATTATTGTTGTTGTATATAGGTCTTTATTTGACAAATCACGAGTTCAAATTATAACCTTTTTTTCATCATGGTAGTAAAATGACGAACTATCAAAAATGCATTGCTTGCTGGCTTCAAGTGGTAAATGTTAGATATTTTATATGCATTTTCACATTTTCTGGTTTAAAAAAATTCAAATTTTTAGTCTTAAATATAATAAAAAAGAAAATATTTTTTTGAACACTATACATTCCCTTGAAAAACTATTTGAGACAACCAATAATATTTAGTGAACTGGTTATGCATGCAATCCAGGAAACATTGCAATTCTGTTGAGCTAGGCTAAAGTAGGCTCAAAGAAGAGGCAGTACGTAAATCAGGGAACACATGACTGCATATTTACAGGATCATTTTCAGGGCCAGTCAGTAGATAAAAAATACTGGAAGCAATTGAATTTTTGTTAGCAGGGCAGATGAAAGAGATAAGTCAAGAAAATGAATATGGATGCTAGAGGCATTAAACAAATTCACAGTGTACACTGGGACAATTAAAATGCTATTTTCAATCTTTGACTGGTCCTAGAGTATACCTGTAAATTCAAAATGAGGAAATTTTGATATACTTGTGTCTGTAGTTGTAGGCTACATTTTATGCTGAATTGTTTGCTCTTTATAGCACCTGGGAAAGTCATTCACAAACTTTGTGTGTCAAGGTCACAATGACGGAAGGATGATTAAAAATATGTTACAAATATGTTAGCAGGAAGTAATCTGTGTTATACAAACAATACTCATTGATGTAAAAGGAGATGAGACAACTCACATCCTGTAATGACTCAATGTGACTGTATTTGGTAATATTAGACCACTGGTCACACTTTGCTGCCTCCAAGTACATTTAGCTGTGTACTGGATGCCTAGGATAACAATGAATATAAATATTACTCCCAACCATTCTTGTTTTGTTGCTTTTTTTTTTTTTTTTTTTTTTTCTTCCCAGCAGATTACTGAGAGGCTAAGCCAGGTGCTGGTCAAGGCTTCTGGGTGGATCCCAACCATATAGTCAGGATCTTTTCAGTGTGTTACATCAGCCGACAGCAGACTTTAGCCCACTGTCAGCCGAAAGTGGATCACAGGATTGCAGAACAAACTGAACTCCTGTGACCTACATGAGAAGGGTAACCAAAACCGCTTTGGCTATACTCCTATTAAGATGTTGTCTGGTCTGTTTTCTAGTTTGTTCATTGCTCTGTCCATTGCATTTGCTATGGGGTACAATGAATACTTAAAGTACATGTGCAATCATAGGGGAACAAAGATAGTAAATACAGTTTAGGAAGCTGAATGTTTCCCTACCCTGCCTTACCATGTCAGACTTGTCAGGTACTGGAGTTAGACTGTGCACATGTTTGTTCCGCTACAGTTTCATGGTTGCTATGTGGTCATATTATGGAAATAAAAATTGTAAAGGAAGAACCATGAATATATTTCTGTTTTGCTCTTAACACGCGTTACTTTGGTAATGTAACCTTTTTTAACCTTAAACACTTTTTAGGAGCATGATATGCTTAATTATTGTTACCAGTTAATATATAGAACACTTTTGTCTTTGTAGAAGCTCTAAATCAGGGGGATTCCGTGGATTTAGATGCTCTCATGGCTGATCTCTGCTCTATTGAGCAGGAACTTAGTAGCATTGGGTCACAGTCCTCCAAGAATACCCTAAAATCTCATGAACGTAAAGCTTCCCAGAAGCCACCTGCTGGTCGTACAAGCACCAAACAGAGCAGCTTACGGGGATTGCCTTCCTCATCTGGAAAAATATCCAAGCCCTCTCATGCCAACTACTCCTTGGATGACATCACTGCTCAGTTGGAACAAGCCTCTTTAAGCATGGATGAGGCAGCACGGCAAACAGTTGTGGAAGATACTAAACCAGTTGTAACCATTCATCACAGGCGAACAGCTTCGGCAGGCACAGTCAGCGATAGTGATCTTCGTTCTGTTAGCAATTCTTCCCGTTCTAGCATCACCTCAGCAGCCTCCAGCATGGATTCTCTGGATATTGACAAAATGACTAGACCTCAAGAACTAGACCTGGTACAACAAAGCCAGCCAATTTCTGAGGTAAGATAAATTAAAAAAGTGCAATTGAAACGTTTTCTACAATGTTTTTAAGTTAAAAGTTTTTTTTTGTATTTTGGTTTATACCCTAGATATGATATGATTTTTGCACTAACTGAAACTTGAGCCATGTTTTACATTGCTAAAATAGATCTATGTATGTTCAACATGAACAAAGTTAAAAAAAATGCCACCTTGAGGTATGAGTGAATAATTTTCACAGATGTCGAGCTGCCAATGTGTATCACCAGTGTATTTCATGGCCAGCACCTCTAGTGGAGTACTATGAAATTATCTAATGGTAACTAAAAAATGATAGATCGATAGATAGATATATATATATATATATATATAGAGAGAGAGAGAGATATACACACAGACCTATTGCTTAACACAGAGCTTCAGGGATAATCGCTAAATACACGTTTGAAATACGTGGACATTTACAGTTTTACTTTCTATAGGATCTTCAATTGTGCATAGCCAAACAGGTGACACATGTAGTTGGTAGTGAATTACCATTGTCGCTGTTGTATATTCAGTAAGGAGGTAACTCAGAAGACAGTAATGCTAAACCTGGGAATAGCTGAGTTATCTTACTGACAGAGACGTGTATATCACATGAGCTGCTTACCAAAATTAGAAATCCTTTTGCAGATAAAAGAGTAAGCTTGGATTTCACACTTATTTGTCAGTTTGTCTAGAGTTCCACTTTAAAATTACTGGAACATGTCTATTCTTTGCTTATGCATATCCTTTTCATTTCTGATAATCACCATCCACTCAGTTGTATGCTTTGTTTAGAATGCATATTTACCTTGTGTTTTTCAAATGAATGTTATTGTAGTTTTTATGTATAGGTAATTTACTTGTAAATCTTCAAATATACTGTGCTTCCCTGCTAACCAGGCATAAGTCTGCTAATCCTTGCAAGTTTGGTATATATTGCAAGGCCAGATAACTGATTATGTGAAACAAGAGCAGAGCGTATTGGATCGTGCTGATCAAACTTCTTTAATACAAATATGATTAGAAGAAAGATGCATTTAAAAAGGGGGTTGAATGCAATAACAAAAATTGATGCATCACCATACCAACACAAGCAATCTCCCCTGCTGTTCTATTGAATTTGCCCAGCAAGAATTCACAGATCAGATGCTGGTTTTCCAGCATGTCCCTTCGATAAAAGTTGGTCATTAGATGAGCTTCTATCAGAGAGACATCTGTACACAGACTGACTGAAAGTAAGCTTGTTCCTGCTGAACCCTCCGATTTTTGGCCAGTGTGTCCCCCAGCTGCATAAATACAGTTCACAACAACCGTTGCTACATCAGCCTCACCTGGCAGCTGGGTGTGGGAGAAGGATGAAGAGTATCTTGAAGAAACACTGGCTAAATCCCTAGGGAAAGGCCTGGTAAATTGACCATAAGAGTAGAATGGTTCAGGGGGCTAAAATAATAACCTGAAAGAAGAGCACCTCTACTAACATGTTTCAGGGCCATGTATCTTCATCAGAAACTGGTCCCATCCATTGTTTGTACTTAAATCTGTTCTGCCCTTGTGTCTCTTTTACTTGTATGCTTTACATATGCTTAGGCTCAATCAACAGTTTCACTGCGTACAAAGTTGTCTTGTATATACAGTACTTAGTGCAGACTTGAGCTGTATTCTGTAAATCATGGTTATGAAAATACAGTATTTCTTTATTTTAGCTTTTTTCATGTAAGTTGGCTGTTAGTAATATTAAAAGTACAAGTTGTCCTGTTAGTAAGTGTGTTATTTTTTTTATATAAGTTGAGTTTTGGCTCACGCTGTTTGAGCCATGAGTATGAAAAGTCCCAATTAGCATTTCTAAACCCAATGACATTGCTTCTGCCAGGTTTCCAGTGTTTGTAACATTTTCATACCACTGTGTTTTTGTGGCAAGGCTACTTGCATTTTGGGCAGCTACAAATGTTTTTAGACAATAATGTTCTTTTAATTTCCTTGTATGAAGCATTATGTTTTCCTGCCTCTCTGGAAGTGACAGTGTGCTCCTTTTGCAAATGTATTGTCAAAGGACTTTTAAAAGGATACTTTTCTTTAGCTGTCTTGTACATAGCCTTACTACTATGAGATTCTAAAGTCTTAAACGAATAGCTAGTTGTCCACCAATATGGACAAGGACAAGTTTTCAATATGGCCCCTCAACAGAAGTCAAACAATCAAATTCCTTCAATCAGGGCAGTACCGAATGAAATTTGGCTGGTTCCTGCTGGACTCTGTGAATTTTGATCAGTGTATGGCCAGCTTAAGGCGTGTGGATGGGCTTCGCACCAACTCCCTGCTTCAGTGGGACATCTACTGATTTTATGACCAGCCATAGATATTTGCAAATGTAACATACTATATATAAGATCTTATGGTATCTGATGTTATGTGAATAAAATCTAGTGATAAAGCCTACATTGTCACTAGTATTGCAACATAGCTGGAATTAGTTTTAGCTATATGATAAATCTTGATCACCTGTAACACCATTTTTGATCCATCATTATGTATAAAATGTCATTACCAAAGCTACGGTTTTACATTATACAAAATAGGCAAGAATTATTCATTAGTGTTTAATGTTTTTATATATATATATATATATATATATATATATATATATATAAAATTTTTAAAGCTTATATTTTCAGTAAGTCTTTTCATAACAGTTAGTAAACTAAAGGCAGTACATTGTACTTAAGGAATATGACATTTCAGCATGCTGAAAAATGTCCAGTAAAAATATGGCTACTTTTGATCAGTAATAGTTTTTATTGGCTTTAAAATGTCTTAAGATGCACTTTAATGTAATATAATAATTAATAGTGTCTACATATTAAAAGGTGAAACCATCATATCTGCTTATCATCTTTAGTGGAATAAGATACTATGAATTGTATTGCTGATTACATTTGAAGTGGTGGTACTGTAGACATTGCTTGATGCAGTGCCATGTTGTGTGACTTTTCATTTGGGAAGTTTGGATATACATCATTCTGTTACTGGATTTTATGAATACATGCTGGCAGATGAAAGTAATAGAATATACAGATATTGCGGAAACTGAGACCACTGAAAAAAAATAAAATAAAATGCAACTGTAGTCCGTACTTTATAAAAATATAGTTTAATACATTTCACAGGAAGGTAGAGTAGGGAATACCTTTTAAGCAGTATGGTATAACTTCTAGATATAGTCCAGATACATTAAGACATTATGATAACTCTTTCCAGAGTGAGAAATTCACTGTAACCCATCTTGGACATGGTGAAATAAATGAGATGTCTTTCAAATTACTGTTTCTTCTATGTACTTTGTGCATCCCTCTGTCACCTACGGGCTCCTCCTAATTAAGAAATGGAGCAGTGACAGAATAGTGGAAAACTCCTGCCAAAACAAAATAAACAAGACCAAACTAACTGTTTAGTAATTGTGTTTAGCTGCAGATCATAAAAAGAAAAAACCTCCAAATGCAGACCTTCCAAAACCAAGAATGTCAGTGAGGATTAGTATCAGCGTCTATCACTTGACTCCTATAAAATGTAAAAATCAATAGGACACTGGCTCTGCCTTTAGTGTCATGATCACAAATGCATGATTGATTTAAATTTAAGAAACTGACTTTTGGTGTTGACCGGTTTTTAAAGTTTTGTCAACATAAAGCACATTTGGCACATAAAGTTGTAATAAACACTCGGTGTTTTTGGCACACATTGAGCACAATAAAATAAACATCCCCCAGGAAGCTATTTGTTAAAATTCTAACCCAAGCTCGTGAAGTTTACAACTGCTGCTGGCTCCTGCTCTCTCAGTGCTGCTTCCTTGAAATTCACAGAAAAGAGTTAAGAGTGGACAATTCAATCTGGAGTCAGTCTGTTCGCTTAGAGAAAAGAGCAGGGGGGTAGCCTTGCCATCCTATGCTATGGGGCTGTGTGTCTATTAATGCACAGAGTGTACGGAGACAGCTCTAGTCCCTGCATGTAAGGGGTTGCTGCAAAGAATGCTGAAAGAGAAACAGACCACCTTGAAACAGAAGTCATGGCACCAGCCTAAATTGTAACATAGACAGGGCTTAAAGATAAAGAAGCGGCATACTCACAAATGATTAACCCATCTGCTGAAAGTGCTTAGAAAACTGAGGGGTTGATATCATCATGGTTAGAAACCCTTACTTCTACCCAGTGAAGTGATTAGCCTCAGGTGGTACACAGAGATGAAACAAACCAATAAGTTGTTCCTGTCTGTTGTCATCTCTTCTCTACAGTCTCCTCAAGCAGATTTTATATAGCATCTCTGATCTCCAGCTGGGGGGCAGAGAGCAGCTGAAGAATCTGAAGTCACACGCTGCAGAGCACCTAACAGGGAGGTGGCTGAGACCCAAGTGGAGGAAATGGACAGCCCCTCAACACAAAACTCATAGGGAAACATGCACAGCTGAGGTTGTCAGTCACAGGCTATGTGCTAAGTGCTCCATCCCTTGGAATCGGTATTCGCTGTCAGAAATGACTCGTGCAGATAGCTGAACAAGCAGGCAGGCAGCAGACATAAATGACACCAAGTGCTTTGAATTGAGGCAAGTTTACAACAACTTTAATATACATTTTAGTGCAGTCTCAAAGTACAACTAAAGGCAGCTTATACTTGCCTTTCCTCCCAATGATACCATCCTGCTCCAGCGTCTTCCTCTGTGCACCAGTTTTTGATCATCTTCTTTGACAAGAGCAGGATGACATCACTCCTGCACATGTGCAGGGAACTATTATTCCAGCACACTGGGATCGGGCTGGCCACGTGCACAGCTCAGTTTAAATGCAGGGGAATGCTGCGAACAGCCAGAGAAGTGTATTTTTTTGCAGAAAAGACATTGTATATCTCTTCTGCATTAAAAAAAAAAAATCTGCTTGCAGTGAACAACTGAGGAACTTTAGTTCCACTTTATCTATAAGGAAGCTGGCACACATCTACAGTGGAT